ATTGAATTCTTAAGCTTCAAACTAGCCCTGCTGGGAAGGAACTGTAATCTTCATTGTAAATTTTGTGCGTAAGATAGTCCTGTCAATCAGCAGTAGTAAATATTCGATTTCATGCATGGTAATTAACTGTAATGAGGTATCTATGTAGCCTAGCTGATTAGAATTTCATTCTCCACCCATCAAAAGAGGCGATTAAATCGAAGTTAATTATGTATACTAGGCCTATTGTGAAGCATTTACCAGTCTTTTTATTGCGGTTTCATCACGAATTGCCAGTAGGCGTATGTTCGCCCACGCCCTCCAACTAATTTGTAATTCTTGTTGTTATGCCTTGCCCATACCTTTGCAAATAAAAGAAACCGAAAGGTGTAAGACGAGACTAAATTTAATGGAGTAAAACTATGGACGACAGATATAAGGAAGATTCTACAAGTACTGACCTAGGATATTAATTCAGTATTACTAATAAGCCATTCTGTTTCCCCACAATATTCATCATAAATAGCTGTAATTTTTAAAAACAAATAGTCGTTCTCTGAGTAATGTTAATGTTTCAGTTTACTAATTAGGCGTACAGTTATTTTAGTTTTAATATTGACACATGAAGTTAAAGCCTCATAAACAGACCCCCTTCCCTCTCTCTCTCTCTCTCTCTCTCACACACACACACATATTATTTTCTGAAATATGTACTAATTTTGCAGCTGCAATATAGTTCAATCAGTGAAAGGTTTACATATTATATGTATAATTACCAATTAACTTGAAATTCGTGTGAATCTTGAAGACTGAATCTTACTAAGTGCGAATGAATAAAATGAAACTGGGCTTCTTCAATACTGAATTAATAAAACTAGTCGGGCTCAAGAATGTTAGGGGCTTACACAGTTTACTTGCTTAAAGAGCATATGGGGCCCCATGAATGGAACCCACACTATCATACGCAGATACGGAACTGGGCAAGATGTAGACGAACAGAGGAATGAAACATCTGATCAAATGAAGGCCGCAGGCTGGCACTGAATATGAAGTTTCTGCTTTTAATAATCCACCCACTGGAACTGTCGAAGACAAATCGTGGCAACCGTCAGACCTGCACGATTTAACCTCCTTTCAATACAGTACAAGCAAGCTATGCTACATACCGACCTCGAGCCATTCTGATGTATGAATGTTAAGAGATTAATTTCCTATCTTCAAGGGCACACACTGATATGATGCCGTGATAATTTCCGTCTTAAAATATCCGTAGATATGAGTACATTACACAAGCGAAAACACATAGTCCTAGATAGACCTAGCAAATGGCTTCTAAAATAGCTTACATCTGCTAATACAATTTCAGACCTAGGAGCAAATGAAGATACACTGTAAAACCAAATAATTTCGGCAGACCAGATTCTCCTGTGTCAGCATCAGAAGGTCCAGTTACGCACAGATTATTAGGCCTTTGTAGGCCTCTGTGCTGTGTAAGCTTAACGTGCTGAATCCGCACATAAAATAAAAATCTATGCACGTCTAAAATATCTTCGAGGGTTCGGTATCTTCAGATAGTGTTGTACATCATTATGTTATCTTCAGAAAGTTATTAGATTCCATAATGGATATGGACCAAAGCCGCTATGTGGTTGAACACACAAAGTGTGTTGCCACACAGTTGCCTACTCTGGGTAAGGTGTTCCCTCAGAAATTCCTTAGACAAAAAATTCCAGACGGTAGATCTAACTGAAAAGGAACAATGGAGTTCAGGATGGGGATTTTCATGTTGCACAATGAAAATCTAAGATCAACTCTTAAAGCATCGAAATGTTTTTGTGAAAATCTAAGATCAACTCTTAAAGCATCGAAATGTTTATGAAACATAACATGCAATTTCTTCTACCCTAAAGCTGCAGGCAGTTGGTCGCAGTAACCACGCGGTCTAAGGCATGAACTGTCTTCACTCGCTCGGACGCTGGGATCATGGGTTCTAATCCCACTTATTGCATGGGTGTTTGGTGTGTATGCGTTTATTCTGTTTGTGGTGTCCTGTGTTTAGGTAGAGGCCCTGCGACGAGCTGATCACTCATCCAAGGAGTCCTACCGTATGTGAAAAATGATTACGGAACTGAATAAGAGGCCTGGGCCTTGAATGGACGGAAAGCGCCATTGAAAAATAAAAATAAAGATGGAGGCAATAAAATAAGTTCCTCCGAATTGTTGCTACGCATCTGACAAATAACACGGTATAACATGGCGGAAGAGCGCAATGATAAGTGTACCCTTTTAGCTTGTAACGTTAGCACATTTCAGATATATCGCATGAAAATCCAAAGTTTGCACATTAACACATTATTACAGCTGTTACTCCTACATCAGCTTACGCATATGAATTTCTGAGAAAACAAAGGCCTGTGGGCCTTAATTGCCTTAATATAGGCCAAACGCCTGTGTAGGCATATCACGTACATTTGCCTGAGCCTGCTTCAGTTTCATTACTTTAACCATATACAGACATAAAGATTCATAACTCCTAGCTTATTCTCTCGCTCCTGCATTAGATACAGACATATTGCTAGACACAAGTCCTTGCCTCCACTTGTATCGCCATTCGTATCTCTGTGCCTCTACAGCCCTTTGTTGGACTTGGGCCGCTTTTTCTGCTTCTTGATCATTTTACGCAGTCGGTAGGACTTCTTGGATGGAGGATCAGCCCGTTGCAAGGCCACTACCTTCGCACAGGTCAGCACAAACACACACAGAACTCCATATCTTGAGTGGGATTCGAACCCACGATCCCAGAGTTCGAGCGGGCGAAGACAGCGCGGCCACTGTGATCCGCACTTCCATCCCTACATACTTAAAAAAATAACAGATGGCCATTATCGACCAGTGCTGTAGTTTTGCTTGTTTTGCGTTTGCTTGAAAAAATACAACAGAATAGGCCTACAATACTAAAAGCGTGCATCTTCCTTTCAGAATATTAATGTCACATCATCCGTTGAAAGTTACAGGAACTAAGCGATACTGTAGAATATACAGGATATAAGGATCCATGGATTCTTGATATAATCCAAAATTTTCTAGATTATTAATATATGAATTCTATAGTTTTTTTAGTTCGCTTAGTGGGGGGTGGAGTTCAACTGAGTCCACTCGGCACGGAGGCCACTGATTGGCGTATTGTAACCTGCCCCGGGTGATTATGCAGAATTTGGTGGAATGAAGATTGCCATGGGAAGCCGAAGCACTAGGAGAAAACCCGCCACAGCGCCACTTTGTCCACCACAAATCCCACTTAACCAGACCCGGGATTGATCCCGGGCCGCCGCGGTGAGAAGCCAGCGACTAACCGCTTGAGCTAAGACGCAGCCAACACTATAGTTACATCAAAGTTTTCCTCCCCCGCCCCGAGTACTTTTAGCCTCATTTTTTATTTTTTAATTGGGGCACAGTCTGACAGCAATCGCTACTCTGGAAATCTGCAGCCTAATTTAATAGGATACTTAGACAATCTTTACATAAGGAGAGAAGTTCAACAGATCCACGTTTTCTTAAGTGCCTTCAGACTTAATTCCCATTGTAGCCCTGAAGCAGATCTGGTTATTTCTTTGTTTATTGTGTTCTTACGACCTTTCTCGATGTACTTTTACATGAAAGGAGGATAATTCATCATATTTTCCTTCTTCTACATTTAGAGAGTACGCCCTTTTGGTCTGTTCCAGTTCAGAATTAACTTTTGAAACGACTAAACCTACTGATAATTGGTAGGACTCCTTGGGCAGGGGATCGGCCCATGGAAATGGATCTATCTACCTTCGACAACACATAAGGAAAGCACGGACACACAATCCCATGCCAGAGTAGGATTCAAACCCACGATCAGTTTTCGAGCTGCTATATGTGCCTCAGACAGCACAGCCACTACAGTCAGAATATTCGAAATAATAATTAATAATTTTAAAATTTGCGGAAGGAAATAACAACTATATTTTAAGATCGCAGGTCAGTATTTTCATGGAATGACTGAGGACATTTCACAGTACTTGGGAAATTCGGTCCCTGCGCCGAGATTCGAAAACAGGACCTTCTGAAGAGGAAGAAGGAGCAAGCTTCAGATACAATTTCTAACTCTGTAATCTAAATGCTGGCTACTGAACAAAATATGTCCACTTATTAAAATTCAAATCGTGGTAATAACGATACAATTTTATGTTAAAATTACAATTTCGTGCATATTTTTTTGCTGCTGGATTATTCTAAACTCTCTTTTTCGAGTATTAAGTTGTATAAATCTATCTTAAAATTATTGAAAATAATATGAAATAATTCAACATTTTCTTATAGGCCAGAATTTCACTGTTATGCTAAAGTAACGGGCAAATTATTTCGGGGGGGGGGATGGAACTATATCTCTATTTATTGTTTCCATCTTTTCATATAGAAAAGTACGTAAGCTTAATAGATCTTAACTGATTGGTCAAGGTATTGAAAGACATTTTTACGAAAAGAAGACATTTTTCCTACTGATATGAGCCGCAATACAATTTTCAGCATTCCTCCAAAATTTCTGTGAACATGTATCGGTCTACCCAGCGTTATATCTCACAGTTGTGAGAACTTCACATTCACCACCGGTTTCTTTGTCTTGTTACAGAACCAAAAGGCAAGAACTGAAGTCCTTGCTTTCGTAGAATAAAATCAGCTGTCCATATTAATCCTCGAAATACCTCATGCAAAAAGTTTTGACAGTAAATGGAAATATTGTCTATAATTGTTGGGTATAGGCCTAAGTGCTGGAGTGCGATGTTAATGTCTGCTGAAAACTTCTTGTAAGTTCTATTAATTACCACTGAACAAACAGTAGTGTCGTAATTCCCACACGGACTATGAAGCTTTGATTATAGGACTTACATTATCGAATAAGAATTAAATTATTTTCTTTCACATATTTATTAAACACGGACTTGCACTTTCCATATTAACGTAGGACATTCCTACTAGCGCCATTTTGTACTCACCTCATAGCGCGAGGGTCGGACGAGCTGCAACCGGGCCATTGGTAGTCCACATCCCGCCAACAGCAGCAGCTTCTCTCCGACAGCTGTCCGCCATGTTCCACACAAACGCATCCAACCGTCTGACGGCCGGTCGCCTGCCCTGTCGCCGAGATAGTTGCCGGCCCGCGCTTGGGTTTTTACGGCCAACTATAAAAGTAAAGGAAATGGTCCATATAGGAGACATTTAAAAGACAGATAAAAATAAGCTAAAACTGGCACCTCTATTATTCATTCTAGCTTAAAAGAGCGAGAGAGACAGACATACAAATACACCCTCTAAAAAAGAATAGTTATCACAGAATGTTTAAAATGAATTTGTGTTTACGAGTGTGAGTTTATAAACGTAACTTGTTCACGGTTAGTGCAAGGATAAAAGTGCCAATTAATGGTTAACAGGGCAAATAAGATTCCTTATGGGTATACAAACGATGCCATTAGGCACACGAATGAACCGGATGAGGTCAAATACGTGGGAGGTCACAGCTCCTAACTTATTTGGAATGACTGGGTCTCGTCCTATCCCAAGACAGCACACAGAGGCTAATCTTCCAATTTCAGTAATCCTTGAAACCCAGTGATTACTACGTAGTTATAAATTACCTGTTTCAACATACAAAATCTCTGTATTCTGCCGCGTAGTATATTCGTGTGTTTCGTATGATTATTACAATAAACCGTGATTATTTCTCTAATTAGCGTTAATCTATTGGTCTTAGTATCGGGGACCTGACATGTTTGCTGTGAAGAAGCAGCTGAGCCATTGAAGTGTTACATCAATCGACTGGCCACTTATTCTTCAAGGCGCGTGGTGAAACTATTACAATCGTTTGGATTTGATATCGAAGCGTTTTTACAAAAATTTTCAGTTTGCAGGCACATTGCAATTCTGAAGTCGGACAGAAATTATGGGCACTAGGCCTGTATACATGTCTGTGCGTATCTCCAGCATAACACTTTACATATGTGTCGAAGCGAGAACTGTTTCGAAAAAATTATAGAGAAAGAAACACATATTTACACGCACAATACAATTAGAGATTTTTTGATAATTAGACACGAATTGTTACGCAATACATAGATTCCGTAAGTCATATAATTATTCAACAGGCAGAACAAACTATTTTGCGTTTATGATATCGCATGATATTTTCGAACAATCAGGTATATTTAATTAGTCATTAGTAAGTAGGAGCCAGGATAGCGCAGTAGGTATAGCGACTGGTTACGAGCTGGACAGCAGAGGGGTCGGTTTTCGAGCCCCGGTGGGGACAAGAATTATCTCATCCCCGCGTCGTCCAGATCTGCTCTGAGGCTCACCCACCCTCCCATCCAATGAGTACCGGGGGTAAAGCGGCCTGGGCGTGAAGCTGAACACTAGCCTCCAAGTAGTGACAAGGTCAAGAAAATGTGGATCTATACATCTGCTCCCCAATACGGTTCATAGCGTAATGCTTAATTACTTAGGCACAAGGACAACTTTACTTTACTTTCACTAATTATTAACTAAGGCTCCCTATTTTGTACTACACCTCATAACTTAGAATAGGTGAGCGTGCTAAAGAATGAGGCTATTAGGTGTACTGCATCTGATGAAATTCGCCGTCATTACAATTCTAGACACAGATCAGAAGACAGACCTCCCTAGTCTTAAGAGGCTACTGGATAGGCTACGTGTGGGCCTACTTCCAGTTATGAAAAACGTAATTACGTGCTGTTATGACAGTTTGTTCCTGTGATCGAAAGAAATTTACTCTAAGAACAGTTCTCTCTTTTCGACCTGCTACTAACTCGGCAGAGCTGATCATCATACCGACTCAGAGGTGTTATAGGCATCGGCCACGGCCGAAGTTCCTGTGGCTTTCTGTAAGTAGGCCTTCGGTTTACAGATAATGCATGAGGTTGGAATCTTCATTCCGAATTCTAAAAATAAACTGAGCTACTGGCTGAAGCAGTGACACCCAAGTTCTGATCTCTCAATTAACCTCACAGAGTTTTCGTGGTATTCTTCAGTCCTATAAGTAAAAGCGAAGATAGTTCCTTAAAATGATGCCACAACTGCTTCCTTTCATATCATTTCCAAGTCATTACTCACTGCCATGCAATCATTCACCGCTACATAGACTTTGAATTACTGATAAGCTCGTTTAACAACAAACAGCGCATAGCCTTAAGGTTCCACAAAGACAGAAGGCAATACACACTTCTGTATAGGCATTCTTACTGGCTTAGTAATTAATAATTGTAAGCAGTCCTACATGGAAAATGAGGGAACTGACATACGAATAATTTCCAAGGCCTCCTCAGTTTAGGATATAGGCTAAAGTGTTAGTTTTGTATCTGAAGTTGTCTCATGTTTACTTTGACATCCGAATGCAAGTTGGTATTAACTTTGCCGACAAGCGGCGGTCGCTCGGTCGGTATAGTTCGCCTACGGACTCAAGCCACGGAGTTTGTTTTTGTTTTAAACCTGCTGTCGCATCGTGTGCATGCGGAAGGTCGCAAAACGAACAGTTTGAAGAGCAAGACTTCGTGTATGTTCAGTATTCTGACAATGCCGTCTCTCCCATCTGATCCTTGGAGCTCGAGAATATATAAATGGTTTAAATACATCTGATTATAGCCTAAATTCAAGAGTCGTTACAGTGACAGGCTACGGACTGTTCGACCCGAGTTCGATTCCCGGCACTAGTAGACTTCCCTCTTATCCACAGGGTTCAGACGCACTTTGAGGGCCCCCCAAAATCCTATCCAATGGGTACCGGGGGTAATACGGCAGGCGCGTGAAGTTGATCGCTCACCTCCATCGAGTGCCGAGTTCAAGAAAGGTGGAGCCATGCCTCCACTCCCCATGTCTTCATGATATAATGCTTAAATAATTAAGCACAAGGACGCCTTTGCCTATATATATTTAAGTAGAGTGATAGACGTGAATGATGGACATACAGGTACCCAGAAATTATGTACAGGCATAACGTTTCCTCTGGAATGTCAGCGGAACTCCCGACAGACACCATTCGTACTTCAGGGTGGGTGGAGAGATGACAGATTATTTACTGCTGATAAAGGTTTTGTTTCTGAAATTTAGGTAAAATAAAGTGAGTGTCAATATAAAATTCTTGAGTCATTTTATCAATGGTTTGCTTAACGATACTGTCAGTACTTCAAAGCGGCAGTTTGATGAGTTTGAAGGATATACTAGTAGAAAGAAGCGGTCGTAGCCTACCTCACAGTAAAACCCTGAATTCTCCTGGAGGTACTGAAGAAAACCAAGAACATAGTACGGACAAAATACTAGGTGACCAGGCCGGGATTCGAGCCGAACACTTCGAAAATGCAAGTTAGAAGCACTACCTCCTCAGCCTACTTACTCGGTTGAAACCTTCGTGACGACAGACTGTTTAGGTGCAATGGTATTCTAGTAGCTAAGAGCCCAAGTCGAGAATTGCTAATTCGTTCTCTTGCGGAAAGTTTTATAGGCCTAGGGTCTGTGGTGTCACAGTGCAGACACAAACCGCAGGCACAGTAACTTCTCTTCGAAGTGACTATTAAAATCACTCTGTCTGTCCGTCTGTATGCATGACAAAACTCGAGAAACGCTGAAAATATTTTGATGCTGTCTGATATTGGGAGTTAAATTAAGATATCGATCCATTCTTATTTTGGCTAAAATCAGTCAAGGGCAACGGATGCTTCACACGAAGAGGTACACGCGCTAAATATTTGTGTTTCGAACAAAAAGTGCAGAGAAGAATTATGTCCAAAATATACATTTCCCACAAGTTCTGTGGTTTTCGAGATGAGTGAACAAAACAGGCCAGAGTGCGCCAGAAACTTACGCTACGTGTACATTTTTCCTAACTTGTTTTGTAATTAGAGTTGACTGGTAATTTATTATCTTTCAGACAGATTTAGACTGCGAATAAGGTACAACGATTCGTTGAATTTAAGGTTCTTACGGCAGAAGTTAAGAGGAATACGTTATTCTTTGTTGTAACGCCATGCATTTCGGAGAGAGCAGAACGTTTCGCTATCTTCAATGTCGAAGAGTAGGCTACGCATGGGACGGGTAGATGTAGGCGGTACTGCACGCTCCTACAGCCCACACGACTGTACTCCTCAGGGTATAATGACACCGTGAAGTGCCACGGCGTTCAGACACACACACCCTGGCACCTTGTTAAGCAACGCAGTAGGCGCCCGTATTGAAACACAAAGGAGGCTAAATAACACAATTCTGTTCAGCCGACTGTACTTGTATTATTTTGGTGCCAACTTTGTCAAATTGTTTGCATAATTTTCAAGAATACAAGGGGTTATGAAGATTCGATTAGTAGGTTGTGTAGCACGCACAGAATATATCAGAAATTTAATCATAAAATCTGAAGGGAAGACATCCCCTGGGAGACCTAGGTACAGACGAGAATATGCTAAAATGGGTCATAAAAGGATTGGAAGTGAGTGTGGATTGGATTCACCTGGCAACGAATATAACATGGTAATGAACTTTCGGATTCTATAAGAGATTACAATTTCTCAACCATCTGAGTGACTGTCAGCTTCTCAACAAAGAATTCGCTTCACGGGGCTCTTTAAATGAAGTATGCGAATTCCGAAATATATAGAAAATTTTATTATCAATGTCTGTATTTCTTGAAGTCAAAATTCCGATATCTAGAACGAATAAATTGTGACCAGACTGCGAGGACTAAAGTTAAATTTATTTTTACACCAACTGCATATGGGCTGCATTTTTTAGGCAGATAATATGAGAAGAGTTCTGTTCCATGTGTGTTAGCCTTACGCGGCATACAAAATATTCAGACAGTCCTTCAATTGAAATGAAATGTCTAAAAAATTATTTACTGAACTGGCTTTTTCATTATTGTGTTAAGAGCACAAACCAAAAAGCAAAACTCTGAAAATCATTTTAATATGCATAATTGAAACATAAACTGATGATAGAGAATGAAAGGCAACAAATCGTGATTTGATTATTTCGAAACGCAAAGCAGCAAATGTATTTAAAAGAGCCATTTTAATGTTCTGAAAATGATTAAGACCTATGAATTCTCTTTATATGTTATTCTCACCAGTAACCATAATCGTCCAATAGAGGAAGATATTACTAGTAAGCGTTTTAGATGATC